AAAAGAAAAGAAAAGAAAAAGAAATAAAAGTAGATCAACTAGCAATGGCCAAGTAACCTCAATACAGCACTCACCGTGACTAAATTTAATTTAAATATAGAAATTCTAATTATGAAAAATTTGACAGCATTATTTTACTAAATGAAAACTGGTACCTTCTAACTTGGTCAATTTAGTCTCATTTGAAACACGGTACGCTTTACAATCAAGGCAATAGGTTCCCAAACCTAAACAAGCAACAATTATCAAAACAGCAAGACACAGACATGAAAATAAGCAATGGAAGCTACGTGGAATTGGTCATCATCACTTAGAGAGGTTGTTAAAGCAAAAGAGGCAGTTTTATTAATCCAAAACAAGGTATAAATTATTCTGAAATAATCAAATATAGAACAAATTATTAAAATAGACAAAAAAAGGATATCACAAGATATCAAAATGCAGAATCATCACCAGCCATAAAGCATGTTATGATCAGAAAAGGAATAAGGCATGACTCACAGTGGCATTAACTAAAATACAAAAATAAAAGCCTTAACAGAAATTCTGCACATAAGAGATCTACAATTTAGCCAAAACTGCAGCTTCAATAACAAAAAAATTAAAATAATGGGTTTAGTGAAAATATAATCCTCTAAAAGCAAAATGAAGTTCATCAATTTAATCTGCAGGTATGACAACTAGATAGGATGATCCTTGAAAATAAGAACATAGGGCTAGCAAACCATCAGAAAACAGCACTTAGGTGCAGAAGGACACGGTCAATCCAACCACAAGAAGAAACCAACAATTAGCAGGCCTTTCATCTACTCATCTCATACATGACTTCAAGAATAACATTCAAAGCTACTGAATTGATCAAATCCAGGTCTAGTTCCAGCAGCTTTATAATGTATTACACAGTTATGCACAAGTTCACCAAGCCATGGACTAAGCATTATATGGAAACTGAATTTAAACCATAAATATATATAGTCCATGAACTTCTCCCACATTCTAAGGCATTTATCCTAGGCTCCTTGCTTATATCATGTTCATGTGCATTTTCGTTGCCATTTCCCACCCAATATTAGTCGCTAGGAAATAAGAAAAGTCGCAATCACATTTTAAGTACAAAAGCAATATGTCTAAAACAATAAAGACAATGACCAATGGAAGCTACTTAATAGCTTGGAAAAAAAAAAAACAAAGAAGAAGACTGATCAAAATTCAACACAATACTAGCAGAATTTTCAAAATTAAAAGAACAAGTTGAATTGTGTGTACCTTTTCAATGTTGACAGCTGTGGAAGGTTGAAATCAATTCCAATGAAGAGCACTATTTACCAGCGAGAAGAACCTTCTTCAATAATCTGTAGAGTAATTTTCAGGATACAACAAAAAAGAACATGTTTCAATAACAGAAATCTAAAGCACTTTTCCACACAGAACAATAGCAAAAAAATTTAATGTGTTTATAGAGACACTAATATCATATATCATTTTTCCTTTATAATAAAAATTGAAATTCTAACCATTAAAATGTCCCCAATCAGACTACAAAATAGACATTCCTTCTCAAAAATAAGCAAAAAATAGCACAATAAAAAATAATCCTTCATTTTCCCAGTAGCCAAAAACTAGTTACTAAAAGAATCAAAAAGAAGCAAAATAATGCAAGCTAAGCAAAATTACATATTACCACTCAATCTCCTAAACACGTCAATTTGGATTCAACAGAAAAAATAGAGAGAAAAGACTAAAGGTAATTGAAAATAAATTTGAGTTATTGCAAAATCGATAAGAGATCTAAGTAATGCAATTCTAAGTTCTCAAAATGATTACCGAAAGAGAGAAGGAGATCGGAGTTGCAAAAGTTGCTGGACAACGTCTACGCTGTCACCAGAGTCAAGTAAAAATTACCAGAGCCTTGGTCTTGAGCAACACCGAGCCTGGACTAAGTCAAAAAAACTGCATTTAATTGAACATGCAATCAGAAATGAGGATAGTTGGAAATGAGAATGAAATCGAGGAGAACATTCAATTGGAAGTTTAGAGAAATTGGAATTAAAATCGGAAATAGCTTGTGGAGAAACTCTTGGAATCGAAATGGGAATGAAATTGGGGCTGGCTTTTTGGGAAGCCCGTTCCCACCGCGCTCGCGGCCCGGCTGGCCTGCCGGATGCGGGATCCCTTGCTTCAGCTATCACGATAGCAGAGAGTTTAATGGACTTGAAAGGAAGTTTAGATGGGATCGAAATGGAAATAAGCATGTTAAAAAACTCATGGAATTAGAAATTGAAATTGTTTTCTAGAAGGTTTGGGAAAATGCTTCCGGGTTCCCTTCCTTACCTTTTTTTTTTTTTTTTTTATAATTCTAACTAGTTAATACCCCGGGCAATGCCCGGGCCCTCGAAATTAAAAAAATAAAATAAAAATTTAATAGTAAAAATAAATTAGTAGTAAAAGGATACATCATTACTTAAAAGAAAAATATAACAGTGAGTTTTAGGGAATTTAATCTTAATTATGTCAATTCCACAATATATGCATATTTAACTACTTGGGGATACAATAAAAAATAACAAAATACTCGCGATGTTGTATTTTATTATAACCATAGTATCCGCTGCCATATATGATTCACGAATAACATGGATGACACAACCTCACTGTAAAGAATTTGCCATAGGAGGTTTTTGAAATCAAATTTCAACTTGAAGAAATGAGAATTATCTCATGTTACATAACACATTATCAAATGTGTTTTGCAAGAATACATTTACAAAAAACAATGGAAACTAAATCAATACCTCAAAAGTATATTGTAATGAAATTCACCCACAATGAGGCCAGTGAAGTCTAGCAATTAAACTGACAGCAAAAGTTATGAAGCCTATAGCAAAGCTCAAATAAAAGTACAGTTAAGTAGGTAAAATAGAATTAATAGCAAGTAAAGTTTCTTTAAGAGATCTCTTTATACTAATTCAAAAATTAAAGAAGCATTTCTTGTCATTATCTAATCTATTTTTCTATGCAAAGTGTTGTTCTTGTTAAGTATCTTTTAGACCATGTTCAAACTTCCTTCACCAATACATAAATGCTCTTATCAATTCATAGTCACTAAAAAGTCAATGTAAAAAGTAGTAAAGTCAATAATGAATCCTAGTATCCTACATACATATACTTTATACTGCTGGATGATTTTGCATTTATATTTATAAACAAATCTCCAATTCTAACCACCTTTAACATATGTAATTATGTATTGCATTTTACATGTTGCATTTTGTTGTCTCCATGATATCCATAAAGGAGAAGGAAATAAACAGAGGCAAGGTAAAATGGTAAATCCCATAGCTTTAGGTTTATGTGCATCCAAGAAAATTCAGTTACAAACTATTGATTAGAAGATAAGGAAAATTCT